CAGACACCTGGGCCTAGCCTGCCTGTGCAAGCAGCCTAGAAAAGCAGCTCTGGGGGCTGTGCCGGAGGTGCCCAGGCTGGCGGGCTTCTGAGCTCAGGAAGGCCCTGCAGGAGGAGCTGTCAGCCAGCCTTCCTGGTGGCCGCTAATGAGCAGGCGTGTTCCAGGTTATCTACCCAGAGGGGCAGCTGCACCTGGGCTGGGAGAGCTGGAGTCGCCTGGGGCTCTGCCCTCTCCCTGGGATGCCCTGCCAGGCCTGGCCCCTACAGCTCCTAGTTCTATAGCCCCAGCCCAGTAGAGTCATGCAAAGGAGGGCAGAGCCACCTGCTGGCCCCCCTGCTCCATTTCTCCCTTTTTAACCTTCCTTGGGAAGGAGGTGATCAGGGATTTAGTTTTATATTCCTACATCATGCTTGGAGTATAGCAGGTGCTGAATAAATGCTCCTTTCTCTTCCGTTGGTGGTAGGAGGCTGCATAACATTGTTCAAAGCTGGGCTCAAGCCAGACCGCATGTGCACCCAGCTCTGCTGCTTTGTAGCTGTCAGAGCTTGAGGGAGTCACTAACTTCTCTGAGCCTCAGGGTTCACGTGTGGAAACATTTGGACAATGACTGGACCTACTGTATTTTGCTGTGTGTATGCACACCCACGTTTTTAACCCAAACTTTCAGGGGAAAACATCTTTCATTTTAATTTTCTAATTCAAATTTTTACTTATTTATATTTAGAAACAAAACCGATTATCGTACTCCAGGGTATTATTTTGCATAAGGATATCTTTATTCTAGAGTTACACTTTTAACGCACAAGCATAAATAAAAGACTTAAGAACATTTAAATAGATATGGAATTAGTACTGCCCATGCATATAATGTGCATACTTATTTTTCCCCTCAGAAATGTGGGCAAAAACATGTGCATTACACATGACAAAATATGGTACTTCCCAGCCTGTAACAGTGCCTGGTTCATAGTATATGCCAAATGGGTGTTCAATATTTATCTTAGCAGAGAAATCTAGCTGTGTCCAAATGAGGATTTAGGACAAAATAAAAGCTCAGATCCAATTTTAGGGAGTGGGGACATGGGCCCTCTGGGCCTCCTCTTGACCACTGCCTCTCCCCTCTCATATGCCATCTAGAGACAGGGCTCCTGGCTCTGAGAAGCAATAGACAATCCCAGGTGTTAGCACCAGCCCCGCCTCCCCTGCGGAACTCTGCAGGAGTCTGCCTCTGTCACACAGTGGGGGGCAGTTTTCAGCACAGACCCAAACAGTAACTTTTCCCACCAAAGAGGCAATAAAAACATACTCCCTTCTCCAAAGCTGAATATAAAATGCCGACCTTGACAGAGGTTAGAATGCAGCTTTGGAAGACCTCTTCCTAATCCAAGAAAGAAAGGGATCGGGTTGGTGAAGAAGCATTGCAGCTGACTTCCAACATGCCCCAGACTCTGTCGAAGGGAATCATGGATCAAGATTAAAGACAGAAAGACTGATATAATAACCCCTTTCTATCCCTGGCTGGTGTGGCTCAGGGATCTGAGTGCCAGCCTGCAAACTGAAAGGTCGCCAGCTCGGTTCCCAGTCAGGGCACATGATCAATTCTCTCTCACACATTGATTTTTCTCTCCCTCTCTTGTTTTTATCCCTCCCTTCCCCTCTCTCTAGGAATGAATAAATAACATCTTTGTTAAAAATTTAAAATATGAAAAATCCCTTTCTAAACAGGAGAGGGACTAACAGCCCTGGAAGGCTTCCCACCTGCCAGCACTGGTCTGCGCTTCCCAAGGCTGCATTCATTCCATCAGGGTGGGTGCCAGCGCCACCCATTTTACAGTGGAACAAAACAGAGGTGCAAAGACCAAGCTGTTTGCCTCAGCATTCACAACCAGCAAGCAGCAGAGGAGGGATCAGACCAGGGCTGCCCTGCAGAAAACCAAGGCTTTAACACACAACTCTACACAGCAAACACAGGCAAGAAGTCACCCCTAAAGACACTAGGCCGGGAAGCAACCTTGCCAGCAGACAGGGCAGGATAAGAAAACTGGGGGCACAAGAAGAGGGCTTAAAACTATGCCCTGCCAGCTCTGCTGAGGGGATCTGTTTTTGTTACTGGAGAGGGTCCTGGCCCTGAGCGGGTCTGCCCAGAGCCAGCTGAGGTGTGTGTGGGTTCTTGACCTCGTGTAGGTAAGATTTCACAATGTGAGTCCAGGTGACTATAAGGGCATATTTATTAAAGCTAGGGACAGTAAAACAAGGAAGGGCTTAGCATAGAAGAACCAAGAGGAGGGCCTATGCTGGGCTGTCTTAGCTCACTGAGAAGTCCCAGAAAAGGGGACTTTGGGGACAGGTTCAGAGGATTAGCCTGGAACAAGCTGCCGGCTGCCGGCTGCCTTGAAGTTGAGCTGCCTTGGAGTTTAGGAGAGGCGTGCCTCTGGGGAAAGTAGTAGGAGAAGAAGGGAAAGGAAAGTGTGGGTTGCTCCCCAGAGGGAGAGCCCGCCCTGGGCCCTTTGTCTCGAGGCTTTTATCTCTCCCCTGCAGGCAGGAATCTTAGGGGAGGTCTCGGGGAGGCATTCCACAGAATATTCATCAGTTCTCCAGGTGTACCCTTTCAGGATCGTGGTCTCCATTGATTGGCCAGGAACAGGGCGGGGTCGGGGGGGTGGTCTTTAGTCTTTGCAGTTGGTCTGGCATCGCCCACCTGGTTTTGCTGCTTTTCTGGGCCTGGAGCAGAAACACAACTGAGGCCTAGATGTTATCTCCAGGGAGGAAAGACCAGGGGAGGAGAGGTTAATCTGGGGGAGAGGTCCTTGTTTTCCAAGTTTTGTCCCCTGCCAAGTACTGGGAACCTTCTTCCCTGGTGACCATCTCTATCTGACTGTAAATGGCTCAGCCATTGAGTTCAGCTGTCTGTCTCAGTTACCCTATTCCACTTGCAAAGGAATTTTCCTAGCTTCTCACCATCCTGTCTTGATTTTAGGGAGAGGAACTCAAAGCCTGGTGCCAGTGCCTGCTGTGTACACACAGGGAGCAGACCCAACCTCAGATAAATGCCCTGTTCTCTCCGACACATCTTGTTTGGTCCCACGTTCATGTGGGGGGGATGGAGGGAAGAAATGACCAGGTGATTACCAGATTTCTACACTGAAAGAGTAGGTCAACACAGAAGCTACTGCAAAGCCTAGCTCATGGAAAGCATACAAAATCTGCTGGTTAGATCTGTGCTATCCATGATTTCAATGCTCTGACCAAGGTCACAAGAAAAGGAGAAAAACCAGCTGCCCAGGATTGTGTCACCCTCTCAGTGCGCTGTTGCCTGGCCACTGGCCTCACCCCATTTGCCACTCCTAGTGGCTGTAATGAGTGAGCGAGGCCACTGAGCAGCCTCATGCTCAAGGCCTGTTTGCTCAGAGATGGGGCAAAGTGCCCTCCGGCCATCTTTTCAAAATCCTACTCCCTGCCACTGCTTAAATGATTGTATCAGAAAGGGGTTTCTTATCCAGTCACCTCTCTATGCACCCAAGGTCAATACACACATTTCTGGAATCGTTAGGAATGGGTTATTTTGGAAATAATTATTTAAAAACAACTTCTAACCAGCTAGTTGGCAGAAACCTTCCAGAGTTCTTCCTAAATGTATATCCAAGTGGATGTTATTCCATCTCCTTCCCTGCACCACTGTGGGGACGAGGCAATGCAGTGCAGGGACACCTGGGTTCAAATCCTGGCTCTAAGACCTGGGTCACCCTAGAGCTTATTTCCAATGCTTCTTTTCTCTAGTTTTTAGTTGACTTTTCACTGTTTCAGCCCAGTGACCTCTGCTTTGTTCTCTGGCTCTTTCATTGTTGTTCAGTGTTTCATGTCTGTGCCCTTCAGCTGCATAGCAGAGCAATTAGTCCTTGGGAATGGGAGCCAAAGGGCCTAGCACAGGCTGGGTCCTAGCAGACAGTCTGACTACAACAGGTGAGTGATGAATGAATGTCTTGAAGCATGGGGGTGGGCCCCTGAGGCTCTCTGAATTGCATCTCTCCAAAAAAGGCACCTGCCCACACTCACAGATCACGACTGCCTCGGTACAGCAATGGGTCTGAGGCTCTGAAGAATAGAAAGGAGGTGGTGTGGCCGCAGAAGCCCAGCAAATGGTGAGATAAGACCAAAAAGATGGGCGGAGGCCAGTCAACCAGGGCCTTGAAAGGCAAGAAAAGGTGTTTGGATTGTTGTAAGAAATGAGAAGCCACTGAAAATTTGACACAGGGAGTGTTCTGCACTGCTAGCTTGACGGCCCTTAAAGGCAAGAGCCCCACACTGTTCATTGGGAAATTCCTGGGCTTGGCTCTGAATGACATGCAGAGGCATTTATGTTTATTATTTTGTTTATTACTGTTTGCCACTTTGCACCAATCAACTCAGAGTGAAATTAGGATTAAAATTTTACAAATGTCTCTTTTTGCCCCAGTGAACTCATCTATGGCACACTATCTCGAAATTTACAGCAAATCCAGGTGAGAGCAGGACTGAGGATTATCTTTATACAATAAAAAAATCTTTTGCTGAATTAATTAGCAGTGCAAACAAGAATAGGGGAGAAAGCTTAAACTCCACATGCAAACTGCTCAAAATATTTTAGTAGTGCCAATTTAAACACAAACAGTGGATACTTGATTGCTTACCTTTGTTTAATAATATTCCATAATTCAGGAAGCTTCCCACCCATACCCACAAAAAATTAAATTAATAATACTTAACTGTATTTGAATACCTAAAGTATATTTTCCCAGTGCTCTGTTTATAGGTTCATAGTATTTGGAGGTTATCGTGACCGACAACAAATAAACCAGCAACTACACATGTGCACTCGCACATGTCCAAACCAGACCTGGGCTTTAGCTGACGTTTCATCTTATACAGCCCTATACTTGAGTCTACTTTTGATTTCAGCCTTTTAACCTGGTTCATGTTCATTGCTCACTTCTGTGGCGTTTTCCAGACCAGAAAGCACTCACCAGGTGCTGTCAGTAGAAGATTCACATCCCCAACTCGTAGAATGAACTCCATTTCTGCAAAAACAACACAGAAGGGAAAAAATCGACCTCTGAAAACACTAGGCTTTTATGTATCAAGAATCTTCAGAATATTCATTACTTCAACCTGGTAATTCAATCTCTGGGAATTACCCTAAAGGATTTATTTGAATGAGAAAGAAATTGTGTGCAGTAAGAAAGCCCACAATGCTCCTTATCTCAGAAAAGACCAGAAACAACCATAATACACAGCAAGGGAACGGGTGAGTAAAGTACTGGGCAACTCAGTGATGTAATATCGTCTGGCCATTACAAAGAAGCTCAAGACATGTTTATGGTAATCTGAGAAGTGTTTCTAGTTATGGTATTTCATCACATTTAAGACACCTATTAGACATCCCACTATTTCATGGACCACAAGGAGGAAAAAATACCCAGGATGGCTTATCTAACACAAGGCATCTAAGTAAAGCTGGGACCCCACAGGGCTATTCCCTCCATGTAAGGTGAATGACAAGCAAACATCAAGCAACAATCATGTCTCAATCTTGGCTCTTGTGCAGGGTGGAAACAAAATCACCTGAGGACGTGAACAAATCTGTACTCACAGAGGCTGGAGTCTGAATTTGCGCAACAGACAGTCTGAAAATACCTCAAGTAACTGCTATAACTGAGCTTAATTTTTTATTATTTTTTTTAAACTCTTGTCCAAGGATATGTTTACTGATTTGTAGAGAGAGGAAGGGGGAGGGGAGAGAGAGAACATCAATCAGTTGCCTCCTGTATGCACCCTGACCTGGGATCTCACCTGTAACTCACGTATGTGCCCTGACCAGGAATCAAACCCACAGCCTTTTTGGTGTATGGAATGACACTCCAACCAACTGAGCCATCTGGCCAGGGCCAGATTTAATTTAAACTTAAGGTAAAGTCCTCTCAAGTTGGCAATACCCCAGGTGACTGTCAGAAGCAAACAGGAACCCCCTTTGGAAGAGCTGAATTTCAACACAGGCTAGGAGTGCCTATAAAGCACCCATTATGCAGTGCAAGATCCAAAGATGTGAAAATAAGCGAGTCTTAGAATTAATGTTAAACAAAATAGCAGAATAAAATATGTGAGCAATGACATGTCTTTACACAGGCAATCAGCTGGAAAAAACTACATTAAAATGTTAATAGTGATTTTCTGTAGGTGGTAGACTGAAGGTTTTATTTTTCTTTAAATGACTCTGCATTTACCAGGTTTTCCTATAGTAAGCATGCATCTAATGACCAGGGCAATAAAAAAAGGGCGACGTAAGTAGGACAGGGACAACTTTAGGCGAGGTAGTCAAGGAAAACATCTTAGGGGTGACACTGCTATATCCCATGTGACAACTGGGCCTAGGTTGCAGGGCAGTTAATTAACACGTATTTGTTAAATGAACACATGAGTTAAGGAAAAGCTGCTAAATCTCAAGGGGTCCCAACCAGAGTCTGGCCCTCCAGCCGGGCCACTCACTGCACTGAGCCAGGGAACAGGGCCAGGATACCAGATAAACCAACAGCAGGGCTCAGCTGAATGTGTGCATGCAGCTGTGAGCTTAGCAGAAAGCCCTGGTCATGGCGTTAGGCCTCATTCCATCTCTTTTCCCCACTGGTGAGGTTAGTGCCTTCGTCACCACACTCCCTCAATGTTAGCTTCAGGAGTCAGCACTTTGAAATATTGAGCCCAGTGCAGTATGAGGGGCTGCCATACTCTAGGAGGTCCTCTTTTGAGCCTAGCAACACCTCTCTGCAAACCCAAGCTCTATTGCCTTTAGACAAACTGTTCTCTCTGGACGCTGACCTTGCTCCACCACTCATGATAAGGAAAAAATGCCCCATCAGCTCCAACCTTCCTGCCCGCCTGTGCTTTCCCAGATACATTTACTACTCATGAGCCTGTGCCAGAATCTGCAGATGCAGAAATGAAAGATGAGGCCCTGTCCTTGGCAGAGTCACCATGTACCTGAGACAGCCAGAGGAGAAAACAGAGGATCACAGCACCCTGAGGGAGGACAGGCTCCCCGAAAAAAGGGATGCCTGCTCTCCTGCCAAGATAGTAACAGCCACGGCCAGCAGGGGAGTTACGCACATTCTGGGTTTTTGTACATTGTTTCATCTTACCCTCCCAATTCTGTGAGATTATATCCATCTCACAGATGGGGCTCAAGGCTCCCTGCTTGCCAAGGTCACAGAGCTTGAAGATAGCAGCACCCACACTTGCACCTTGGCCTCAGGGACTTGGAGACCTTGACCCTGGGCACAATACCACACTGGGGGGTGGGTGGACATTTTGGAGGGGAAGGCAGGAAGAGTGGGAAGGAAGTTACTGCAGGAAGAGGTGAGAACCTGCTGCATTTAGGGACTGGGGCCAAGGGTGATGGCGGGGGGGCTAAGGCTGACACAAAGGGCCAGGCGAGCTGTGGCTTCCTTGTAAAGAAGCTCATGGAAACAAACTGGCAACAAGGTCTGAAAGGGAAGATGTCCCTGGGCTTTCTTTCTCTTTTTTAAATCCTCACCCAAGAATGATTTTATTGATTTTAGAGAGGCAGGGAGAAACATTGATGGGTTGCCTCCTGTCCATGCCCCAACTGGGGATCGAACCCACAACCTTTTGGTGTACAGGACAACATTCCGAGTCACCCAGCCAGGGCTCCCTGGGCCCTGCCCAAGCCACACACTTGGAGGACATTCAGCAAGGCAATCCGGTCTCCAGGGCCGGGGACCATGAGTGAATCCTGACTCCTGCCCACATTCCAGCTGCTCAGGGGAGCTGGCGTGTTCTGACTGGAAGCGCACCCAGGTACCACCAAGGACAACCAGGGAACCCAGTGCTGCACCCTGGTCTTTGTGTGGAGGGCACTTGGCAAGAGCTCCTTCTAGAAAACCAGGTTCTCCCAGAGAAGCAGCCCCTCCTGACACAGGCTGTCTGCAAGCTCAGGGTAGGAAGTGCTGTGTGAGGCCTAACAGCTGCTACTGAGCAAAATGCTAATACTGCCCCAGCATTCCCACCCACCTCCCCAGGTTATTCAGACAAACACTAATAAAGGTACTGCTGTGAAGGGGTTTTGCAGATGGGATTACGGTTACTGACTGACTGACCGGAAAACAGATTGTCCTAGATTATCTGGCTGGCCCAAAATAACCACGAGCCCTTAAAAACAGAAAATACAGGAGTTGCAGCTGAAGGGTCAGCTGGAGTGGTTCCAAAGCATGAAGACTCGACCCACCATCGGTGGCTTTGTAGAGCGCCAGGAAATGTGGGTGGCTGAGACTGACCCTCAGCTGATAGCAAGAACATGGGAAGCTCAGACCTAGAACTCCAAGGAACTGAATTGTGCCTCCAGGAGATATAGCCCTGCCGACACCCTGATTACGGCCCTGTGAGACTCAAGAACCAGTTGAACCACTCTGTGCTCAGACCCTCGGACTTACACAAACTGCAAGGTATTAAGTGGGTATTGTTTTTGGGACAATTTGTTACAGCAGTAACTGGAAACTAATAACTAATTTGTGAGCAGACAGATCCCCCTGGCCAAGGTGTGGATGAAACAGGGCCTGGGATGCTGGCAGCGAGAGGACTGGATCTAGCTGTTGGTTCCAGCTAGAGCGAGGAAGGAAGGGAACCACCAGATCTAGGATCTGAGACAGAAGCACCAGTCATCAGTAGGGTCAAATTAACTCACGCATTCCCTCCAGCAACATTTCTTAAGCACTTGCTATGATGAGCTCTGGTTGGGTGTCTAGAACTCAAATCTCAGGGGGAGAAAGATGGCCAAACAGACTCAATCCAGTAAAATGAGTCCCGTGGGAGATCAGAGAAGAGTCACCAGTCCACGAGATGTTGAGCAGGTTTCCCAGAGCCTGAGGCCCTGTCTTGGGTCTTGGCGATCTAGAAAGGAGACAGGCTAGGTGGAGGTGGACCACTTCTGAGCAAACAGCAGAGCCCTGATTGTGGAGACCATGCCTGGAACACTTACAGGAAGATTGGCAGATTGGCAGGAAAGGGACTTAGCCAGCAGGTGGGCACGGGTCAGCTCAGGAGGACCTCCCAGGTTAGAAAGGGAAGTTAGGATTGAGGATGCTAAGCACTGGGGAGACATCTCAGGAGCCCATGCATCCTGACTCTGGGTACAAGCAGACTTGTGCTGGTGGACTGGAGCACCAACACCTCTACAGCCCCTCTGTAAATCAACAAATCATTGCTGTGGTTTGTGTACCAGCCTCATGGGCAGCTGTGCCAGCACCTGGTACATAGCAAACAGTCCACATGAACTTTAAAAATAAATATAAAGACAAAGGCAGGTCCCTGAGGGACTGACCACACCACGGAAAATAGCAAAGAGTGTCCAGTGTAGATAACTGGGTCCAGGCCTGTGGGCACGGGAAAGCCAGCTGAGGGGATGGCAGGCAGAAGCCCTCTCTACCTATGGCTTTGGTACAAACCTGGAAGCAGGCTCTGACCTCTCCCAGGAGTAGGGCAGCAGGGGTACATCACATTGTAACGGGCAGCCTCACAACCCCCTTCCTGCGTGAGGAGAACCAGGAACTTACTTTAAAAGATCTCTACATGAGAAAACACACTTCAAACTCCCATCTGGCACAAAGCTGGCAGCAGAGGCCCTGAGGTTGTCTGACTACAGAAAGGAGACTGAGGAGGATTTCTGACTGTTCCAAGAAGGGGGTCCAGAGGACCTGGCTCTGCAGCAGCCTTCCCTGGAGCTGTTGGCAGGCCCCTGTCCTCCTCAGGCTTCACTGCCCCCAGTGTGGTCACAGTCATAGTTCCCACTTCTGGAAATCAAAGTGCTTTCTGTGTATTGATTCATCTAATCCTCAGGACAATCCTAGGTGCTTTTATTAACCATCTTCATAGTTGGACAGCAACAGGGATCTTGAGTTTTAAATTGTTTTTAGCTGAAAAATCCCTACTTAAAATAGTAAAAGAAAAATCCATATGCAAACCAGACTAGAGCAACTCTGGATGGGAGAAAGGGGTTGAGGGAGGAAAGGGGTTGAGGGAGAATATTAGCTCACAATGACTCCCAAGGGGTTCTTTGGAACCAGGGGCCCTTAAGACTGCTCTAAGATCTGAATCCTGAGGACCGGCAGAGCTCATTCAGCTGGAAGTCCCTTTCCCAGGACTACCCAACTGCCCCAAGCTAAGGTGGAAGCTGGAGAAGTTGAGGGGAGATCCATGAGGGCTGGGACTGCCCACCCTACATCATGCTCCCTGAACATCTTGCTGATGTTGGCCAGGGGAAAGGCCAGTTCCTGGATCTGGACCAAGGCTCCCATTTCTCTCTCAGAAAGCCCTTCCTTGTTATCCCAAAGAGCCCCTGACACCAGATGCGTTCCTCTGATGGCCTCCCCTATCTGAGCCTACTGCTGTTGGCATTTCATACCCACTGCAGGGAATGGGACTGCATGGGACAGATGGGAGCTGAGAGGCAGGAAGAAGAGCAACCAGGGCTCCCCTGTGCAGGGGAGGAGTGGAGAAGACAGGGAGGAGTCCTCCAGGGTCTGCCCTGCTGGACACAGGGGTGGTGCTCCACATCACAGACCTGCAGCAGCACTGTTGGTCCTTGGAGGCCACTCAGGCCAGCCTCTAACTTAACAGCCCAGGAAACTGAGGCTAAGACAGAGGGGGTGAATTTGCCGAGGTTTCTTAGCTGGTTGAATGGCAAGACCTGGATTAGAACCTCTGGTCCAGAGCCTTTTTCCCAACCTTGTTCTGCGAGAATCAGACTAGGGCAGGGCCAAGTAATCCAAAAGAAGGATTAGGGGCATAAAGTCGAAAGCCCTGAATCTGAGTCTTAGCCTGCTAGGTGACCTGGGGCAGGAAAGACCTGCTCTTTCGGCATAGTTTTCTCAACTGCTCTCCCAAACCCTGCCTAGGGAGGACGTGCAGGGTCTAACACCCTCCCCAACACTCGCTTCCACCTCTGAGGTGACAAGGGGCTGGTATAAGCAGAGCTGCCGCCTAGGCTATCTGTCTGCGCCACTGAGGAGGCAGCCTGAGAACTGCCTGCTGACCCAGCAAACGGAGTCCAGCTCTGAAGCCAAACATTGCAGGCAAAGCCCCTCACCTTACCCCGTACACTGATACCCCACAACGGCCTCCCCTCTTGGCTCAGGGACCAACCCGTTGCCTGACTCACACACACCTTCACAGAGGCACACCGCCCTATGCATTCATAGTTACCTGCACCCACTCCCTTCCTCACAAATTCCCACACTCCTCCCGCCAACGAGTGAAGACTCGTACCCACGCTGGAGCCTCACCGCAGGACACCGAGCTGCTGGGTCTGCTGCGGCACTGGGCCGCGCAGCCGGGGCGGGCCGTGCCCCCACTGGCTTCCGGTCTGCCTGGGCCCCTCCCCCGCCTGGGCCCCGCCTCTGGGGCAGCCGGGAGGATGTGAGCTCACTCCTGTCCCCCCCTGCTCGCGGCACAGACAGGAAGCGTCCACTGGAGGTCGCGGCCCTCTCGCTACCTAAGGGTCAGCCGGGGGAGTCGGCAGCGCGCCACACCGCGAGCCGGAGCCGCCCATCGCCGTCCCTGCTGGCACCACACACAGTAACGGCCTTTAAAGTAGGTATGAAGTGAAGGCGGACGGCGGCGAGGCTGAAGCAGCGCCCCGCTCCTAGACACCGCGCCGTCAGGGGCGCCTGGGTAGCTGGGAGAGTGAGGGCGTGCATGCCACGCCCCACCGAGCTTCCTGTCGGTCCACGTGACCACGTGCGCACGTGCTCCTGCTTCCTGGCCCCGCGGGTAGCAAACTCCGCCTGGCTACTCCCTGCTGCTGCCCACCTTGAGACGACGCAGGCCTGGTGGGGAAGGCGGCGGGTATAGGAAGCGTTGGAGACTCAGCGCCTGCCGAGCAGGGCTGAGCAGCAGGCCCGGGTGGGCAAACAGCGGCTTTGCCATGAACCCCAGGGGCCTGTTCCAAGACTTCAACCCGAGTAAGTTTCTCATCTACGCCTGCTTGCTGCTCTTCTCGGTGCTGCTGCCCCTCCGCCTGGATGGCATCATCCATTGGAGCTACTGGGCCGTCTTCGCCCCGATATGGCTGTGGAAGCTTCTTGTCATCGCGGGCGCCTCAGTGGGTGCTGGTGTTTGGGCCCGAAACCCTCGCTACCGCACCGAGGGGGAGACCTGCGTGGAGTTCAAAGCTATGTTGATCGCCGTAGGCATCCATCTGCTGCTGCTCATGTTCGAAGTCCTGGTCTGCGACAGGGTGGAGAGAGGAACCCACTTCTGGTTGCTGGTCTTCATGCCACTCTTCTTCGTATCCCCCGTGTCCGTGGCTGCCTGCGTGTGGGGCTTTCGACATGATCGGTCACTTGAGCTGGAGATACTGTGTTCTGTCAACATCCTGCAGTTCATCTTCATCGCCTTAAGGCTGGACAGGATTATCCACTGGCCGTGGTTGGTGGTGTTCGTGCCCCTCTGGATCCTCATGTCGTTTCTCTGCCTGGTCGTCCTCTATTACATTGTCTGGTCCCTCCTCTTCCTTAGATCCCTGGATGTGGTGGCCGAACAGCGGAGAACACACGTGACCATGGCCATCAGCTGGATCACGATTGTCGTGCCCCTGCTCACTTTTGAAGTTCTGCTGGTTCACAGATTGGATGGCCACAATACATTTTCTTACATCTCCATTTTTGTCCCTCTTTGGCTTTCACTAATAACTTTAATGGCCACTACATTTAGGCGAAAAGGGGGCAACCATTGGTGGTTTGGAATTCGCAGAGATTTCTGTCAGTTTCTGCTGGAAATTTTCCCATTTTTAAGAGAATATGGAAACATTTCATATGATCTACATCATGAAGATAGTGAAGATACTGAAGAAACATCCATTCCAGATGCTCCTAAAATTGCTCCAATGTTTGGAAAGAAGACCAGGGTAGTTATAACCCAGAGCCCCGGAAAATATGTTCCCCCACCGCCCAAGTTAAATATTGATATGCCAGATTAAACTCGATTTCGAGATTTAAAGTCCATAAGTATTTAAAAATCAGACACTCACTCCCAAAATCCACATTACTTTTGCCTCTTTTTTTTTATCTATCCCAGACTTAGAACTGAAAACAGGCTCCAAACACTGTCATCTCATGCCTTGTTGGACTTTGATGCTTAACAGTGTCTCTGGTATTTGCCATAGATGTAGGGGGTTATATGAATATATAATGGCGCGTGTGATGTGTGAGAAAATTTGCTATCCAGGCGGGTGCTTGAAGAGCTAGGTGGGAGCAATAAGTTGAGTTGTTTTAGTAGGTCCTCAAAACAGAATAGCTGTATAGCTAGGGCTTTGTTTTTTCTTAAGTGGTACTACAACTATCAAAAATATTGTTATAAAAAGTATTTTTATACACTGCTAGCCTAACATTGTATTTCAGATTGTGCCTCTTGTGACATAATTGATAGCAAATGTAAAGAATTCTCTCTTCCATTTCCTGTTAAACCTCATAGCTGTTTTTTTTTTTTTTTAGTGTTCCTACTGTTAAAATAGTTTTTTTTCTTTGGGCTTTACTGATACTGGTCTTTGATAGCTTAATAGGAGAATTTTTCTAATGCAGTGAATCCATACGTATATAATATTTATATGACTATTTTAGCAATGTAATATATTATGTTGAATTATAGTTCTGTGCAGTACAATGTATTATGTTAAAGTATTTTTTCAAGTTTATATGTGAAGATATATGTCTATTGCAGATGTTCTTGAAGATTGCTTAAACCATTCATATGTACCCAGTTTAGGATATGTCAAAGTACTAGGCATGAATATAGGGATTGAAATTCCCAAGGATCTTAATACTCAGGTGTTAGATGACTCAATCTGCACAGTGTTAAGTTCTCTCTTAGAAGAAGGAGCCACTGTCCTTTGGGAACAGGTGACATGCTCCAGTGTAGTACCAGGCCCTAAAATGACAGTTAGCACATTGAATTTTCCCACACAGGTAGTAACATCTGTTCAGAAACAATTTAAGTAAGCAACAACTGGTTTGTGCATTTCTAAGAATACTACAGTATTAGTTGGTCATAACATAAAGTATTACTTGTTATTGGAAAACTCAAGATAGTAGCCTTAACCAGAAATGGCCAACAGGATCAGGTATTATTTTAAGGTTCAAACTTTTTGATCTGTCAGCTACAGGAAAATAATAGTGCAGGGTTTTTGTTTGTTTTTATGTTGGGGGGGGTTGTATTTTTATCTAGTAAGTTTACTGTTTCTGTAAGTACTGGTGATATCCAGGGAATCAGAAAGTAAAAAACCAGATCCTGGGAGAGTAATGTTCTTCTGACTGAGCACAAATAAATACTTTCGAAAGGAGGTTAAAATAAAAAGGAGTATGAACATTATTACTGGGGAGAAGACTGAAGGGAATTCATTTATATTAGCAACTTGGTAAAAATGATTTAAATTGGGCTCCATATGAATTATGTAAATAAGTTAACTGGTGAGGGGGCATGCTAACAACAAATGCGAACAATGAGAACCAGCCCTGGGAACCTGTGTATCTGAAAGCCTGAGGGTGCTGCAGCTCAGTGTAGTCAGCTGGGACTGAGCCATCATCGCGTATGTGAACATGCTGTCAGTTCACACCAGCTGTCAGAATGTGGGAAGCAGGCCTGAACTGCAGTGGACACAACGTTTTGTAAGCAAGGATTCATTCATACATTTTCTCAAATATTTATTGAGGGCCTGCCTACTCTGAGCTAGACATAGTGCTAGGAAGTGCAGATACATTGGAGAGCAATTCAAATGTGGCTGCCCATATGCATGAAATGTACAATTAAAAGTGGCAAGAAGATAGGACTGACCACAGCAGCCTACCTGTGGGAGGTAAGCCAAGAGCAGGGTATGCAAAGTGCAGGGAAGGATATTACTGGCAGCAGGGTGACATTCAGACCCATCTTTGTTTTCAGGAGACTAGGGTCCCCTGATCGCCCCTCTATCCACAAATGATATCTCAGGCATGGACTTACTCTTCAGTAAGATTTAGGAGCAGAGGAGAAGGTTGCTGGAGGAAATCAATGGGCAGATTTGGGGGCAGTTTGGGATTACCAGTGCCTCCTGGCCACAATGTCAGGCTAGGGGTTTATTGGGACCTGGAACAATCTCCTAACCTGACCTGCCTTACCTCCTCTACCCCAGAATGGCCTAGTGTTAGAGAACCCATGCTTGAATGTAATGAGAGGCTTTCTCAGCTGGGTAAGTCATCCCCTGTCAGACCTCTTTCCTATCTCAAGAAAACTGTGTAATCTGCAAGTTAATACAGTCTCAGCTATGCCTGGGGATTTACCTAATTGCCATGTACCTCTGACTGTTCACAGTACTTAATATGTCAAATTCTGTAACTAGTTTTTCCTGTCTGATGAAGCGTTAGTCATATTTTGCTGCAAGATAACCTCAAAAATCTCAGTGGCCCACAACTACAAACTCTTCGCTCTCAGGTCTGCAAATTACACTCCAGGTGGTAGGTCTGATCTAGGTCTTCATAAGGCACCCCTATTCTATTCTGGGTTCCGGATGAAGGGATAGCGTTCCCTGTGGAGTGTTCTTTCTCATAGCAGAAGCACAAGAGGGCAAGCCAAACCCTACAAGCACAAATATAGCCCCTGCTCACACGTGATGTGTGTCAGGTATACTCGATCTGTTGGCCCAAGCTCATTGGGATGGGCCCATATACACCCAAGGAACAGTAATATAGTCTGCACAGATGTTGTAAGATTGTCTTAAAGACAGAAAAGGAATCACAAAATTTGTGGTAGGTCAGGAATGATTTTTCCTTTCTGTTTCATAAATATTCTGTAATTGTTGGAAGTTAATTGCTTATCACTGTAATCATTAGAAAGGAATCTGAGGGTGGGTGGGGGATAGGAAATTTGAGGTGAGATGAGGAAGACTCTGTATTGAGACCCGTTTGTAGACTAGAAAGGCACAGGATGTGCCGCTTGGGAGAGTTTCATGACAGTACTGTCCCCAGGGCTGCTCTGGGGGCTGCAGAATGCCTTGGAAAAGTCAAACCTGGGCAAGGGAGACCAGCTGGGAAGGAGGCCCTGGCATTCGAGGAGGAAGCAGTCTAGGCAGGCCTGGGCAGCACACTAGATGAGGGAGGAGGCAGGCCTTCCCAGCCAGCCCTCCTTGGTGGTCTGGATGGCTCATGACATGACCGACTTAGTACTAACTTTCGGGAAAATAGAGGTGGCCTACAGCCTGACAGGAAGGCTGGGATCTAACTCAGTGAGCACACAGGAATTGAGAGAAGTTGTGCAGCCAGAAACCCAGGCTGGGTTGTACCTTGGGGACCACTGGAGGGGATGCTGCAGCTGGTGCCCCACCATTAGCCACATGGCACTGCCACTTAAACAGTAAGTGCCACCAATGTCACCCCCTACTGCCACAGTTACTCCTCAATTGTCTCTGCTGTGAGCCCAAGATTAAAATATTATCAGGAAGGAGGATATCATCGGGGCACCTTAGGAATGCGTTCATTCTGCAGCTCCCAGAACATAAGAGGAGAGATTACCTGGCTTCTTTAGCTCAAAGAGTAGGCAGGACTCTGCCAGAACACACTCAGTAAGGGATTTGTCCCAAAAGAAAGGGTGCCCAGATGCTGGGTAACCAAAGGAAATGACAGGAGTGTGCTACACCAAGTCCCTTGGCTGCCTGACGTACATCCTTCCCATATTACACATCCAAAATCCTCCCCCATCTAGCATGCGACAGCTGGCCTCACGCTGAACGGTGACTTGCCCCTCCCCGAAGGGAGAAGGGAGATAGTCCAGAGCTGGTTCATCAACTACTTCATCCAACTCTTAATCTAGGACATTTGGAGCTGTCTCTCCCTCTTCTGGTTTTGTTGTGGTTCTCTCCATATATTCTAGAATGTATGGCTTAAAGCCAGCTACGACAGCATGCCTCCAAAGTGTGGTCCACGAACCCTTGGAGTCTTTGAAGTCCTCCCCCAACTATATTTCTGGCCGACTAGCTTCGTATTCTTTAACCAAGACAACGTACTGCAACAGATTGAATGTACAAGCAGATAAGGGAATGCAACTGCTGTCTGTTAAGCCAGATGTTACAGCTTTGCAAAGATGCAAGACCGATGCCACTCTTCTACTAACTGATTTATTTTTGGGAAATATGGTTATTTTTAATTTTATAAAAAGTTAATATGTAATGGATTTATTGTTTTTTAAATGAATTAATACATTTTTTAAAAGCTATTGGCTTTAATTTCTACCATGGTAAATGTTGCTATAACTCATGGAAACAGAAGCTCATTGAGGTCCTCAACAATTTTTAAGAGTGTTAAAGGGCTCCTGCTACCCTATATTAAAGTGGGGGAAAGAGAGAGAAAAGAAAATTAAAATTGGGTGAAATATATTAAAAGCCATATGACATACCAGGGAAGAAAAAAATAATAGATCACCACCTTTTCTGCAAGAGATTATAGAATGTCTTTGTTCTCTGAGAGAAGACGACACTCCATCGTCCTCCACCAGCGCCTTTGGTGGGTTATTTAACCCAGCGGGATAACTCACTCCTTTGTTCCTGGGGCCCTGAGCCCTTTGCTGGTCTTGCTGGTGTCTGTCTCTTGCTTAATTTCACCTAGAACTAAGAGGGGCCTGGGGGCCTCCTGGATTCTGGCCATGTGCATCCCTCCATTTTGTGACAACAACACTATTTTCCCTAGACAGTCCTTCAAAAGGGGTGGTGGTGCTGGCTGGGTGACTGATCCTGACTACCAAGAGGAAATAGGGACAGATAGTCACTCCCCCCAGAGCTCACAGGCCACCCTTGCTCTTTGTTTTCAGGATGTCCTGTTTGCTAAATAGTTCCACAGAAGGGCAGGGCGGGGGAGGGGAAGTGGTTTTGAAACCTCTCTCCAAAACAGCAGCTCAGAGGTCCCAGCCCCAGCCCCACCACCCCACCAGGCCCTCTGCTGCTGCTCCTCCCTGTGTGTGTCACTATCCTCTGACCTTATGCCCAGGCCCGAGCCACAGCCAGACACTCCGGGGCCTCATGCTCCCTCCTGGAACATCAGCAACACTCTTAATGCAGGATCTGAGACACGTGGTCCCACATGTCTCTTGTCCCACCCCACACCCCTGCTGGTCCCCTCACAGCCCTGTCACAGGAGCCTGCCCTCCTAGGCAAGGGCCAATCCACAGCCCCCAGTGTCACCAGCCCTCCTCAGGCCTCACCTCAGCTGAGCAGCTCTCTCGGGGTCATACACGGGTGAAGTCCCTCTACTCTCGGCCACTCTGGCATTTCAACCTGGTCTTAATAGGCGTTAACCAAAGGCAGCTACTAGCGTAGGGAAGTTCAAAGACTTGTCCACCAGTCTGAGTGAAACCTTTCCAGGAAGCCAGTTCCCTATCCCTGCCCTGCTCCCAACCCACACACACAGTGGATAACTGGCCACCAATTAGAACAAGGTCTGGGTCCCCCTCCTGTTTGTGGCAATAGCCCCAGGCCAGGGCTGATCCCCAGACACGGCTACCCTGACTTGTCCCCCAAAACCCTGACCTCCCACTTTTCAGCAAGTGTAGTAAGAGGACTGGTTGGCGGTGGTGCTGTTCTGGTGGTTAAATATTTTGAATATCATTTAAGGCCCTTTCTCTTCTCAAGGCCTGGCATGCCCTGCTTTCCATTCCAGCTCTGCTTAGTCTCCCACTTCATCCTTGATCCCAGACCGGCTCTTGTCCCCTGGGACAGGACACCTGAGCCTGGGCCCCTGGCTTACCCTGAAGACCAGGCCGGACTCTGCCTGACCCAGGGGTGCACACTGACTCACAAGCGCTGTACACACATCAGGCGCCCTCTCAAGAGCTGGCAAATCGAGGCTATGGCCACCCTAACCCAAGCCCCAGCCTTGGGAGGCCCAACAGGGTTGGAACATCCAGTCGGAGATCATCTCTAATGGCTACCATCCTCCCAAGAAACTTCAGGCAGAAGTCATGAGTGGGAGGCAGAGCCTTGCCTGGGATGCCCCCGAGGCCCCACCCAGGCAGACCTTGCTTGAGGAGCCTTAGCAGGTGAGAAGGGGCATTTCAGGACCAGCTATATAAGTCCTGTGCCCAGCTATAGGGCACTGTGCTCAGTGCTCTACTGATGGCCTGGGCCAGCCCTGGGGATCCAGGGAAGGGAAAGGCCCAGAAAGGAAGAGGGTGCAGTCCCCTTCCTCAGGAGGACAGCATGCCCTCGCACCACAAGCTCAAGTGACAGTCAGCCCTGTGCCAAAAACACACTGTCAGCCAACTCTGGCTGCCATAACAAAATACCATAAACTGGGTATGGTATTTGTTACCATACAAATTTATTCCTCACAGTTCTGGAGGTTGGAAGGCCAGGATCCTGGTGCCGGCATGGTCACATTCTGGCAAGAGCTCTCTCCCTGGCTTGCAGAGGGCCGGC